TTTTTTAAGGTTTGCATTTATTCAAATTGATGGCAGGCTATCTTTGAAAATTCCCCCCCCGGGGGGCGGGCGCTACTTGCGGGTGCAAGCGCACTCTGGAGTAGCGCTACCGGTTCGGTTGAACCGGTACCATCGACTCACCTGACCTGCACCTTGCGTGTAGGATGAGCACTCTTCCAACCCTCGCTGTCTCGGGGATGCCGACAGCCAACCCCCATTTTTGGGAGGGAGGGAAGGAGAGGACGATGGCTTGAGCATGTCCGTTCTTTCGAGAGTGTAACTGACGAGGAGGACGTGGCGCTCAAGGAGCGCACACGTCTAGGGAGAGTTCAGGGAGTCCAAGCAAGCAAGAGTCTAGTGTTGTTTTCGAGATTAGGTTTGATGTCATTCTGCAGCCATGGAAGTGACACCAGCAGTACCTCAAGGTCAACGGATGACCGAAGAAGAAGCAAGCAGAATTCGCCAGCTGTTGGAAAAATGTTACGATGATGGTTTATCTTCAGAGAACATAGGAAGGGAGATTGGAACGGCGGAGATCCACGATGACTATGTGGTGTTCATCCTGGAGGATGACATAGACGACCTGATAATTGAGTGGCTAAAGGCGCGAACAGTCATTGTCATCTTCCAAGTCAAGGATCAGACCTTGAGTTTGTTGTATAGAGAGCAGTTAATTCGGATTTATGAAGACGGATGGTATCGGGATCCTGCCATCAACCCAACAGCCAAGCGGGGGCGGACGCACGGGGAGGGTCCAAAAGTCATGTCATACGTGGCAAGAGCCCCTGGAATTGCACAACGGCTGACGACGTTGGGTTCGGTGGACGTTCCACGCAGGGAAGGCAGTTTCAAAGTCCTCTTCAAGCCTTGGATGACGAGAGCCGAGCCAGACCAGATGAGAAGTCAGGAGCAGGCGGCGAAATTTCGACTAATTGCCTTGCGAGTTCCGCTGATTTCTATGTTCCCGCTAAGAAGAGCAGTGGAACGAACCTTCAGACTTGTATATGCACCCTCCAGACAAGAAGGAGAGTGAGCGGGCACTGGGCAACGTCAAAATTGATTGTGACCCATGTGTACGGGATACATATAGGGATTGGCTGTATGTTAGAAGCAAGGACGGCGCTGATCTTGAAGGAAGGATTGCTACACAAGACTCGCCGTTTTGCAACAAATGCTTGTGGTGGTTTCATACAGAAGACGATCCAGATGTCGGCTGGAAGGCAGAGAGGAAGAGGGAGAGGGAAGGGCCATCGTGGTGGGAGAGGGAATCAAGGAGGCCGAGGTCCGGGAGGAGGAGGGAGGGGACAACCCCCCCCTCCTCAACCTCCTCCAACCTCAACCACC